TTCGTCCGCCATTGAGTCAAGATATTCATTGAGCTTCCCAAAAGCATGTTCCCATTCATATTCTGCGAATGGCATACTTTGCTCTCTCTGGTCTGATAGCAGGGAAGAGGTAGACGACTCATCGAGAGCCAGAAAGTCCAAAGACGAGGCAGGATTAGAAAGGACGGTTGGGCCGAGGATGAAAAATAATGACACGAAGCAGATTGAGGGCCACCGTTCTTTAGCCATCTTGATTGCCGTTGGCGTGCTTGTTCAGCCAGAAGGTATCAAGTAGCGTGGACCACTATTCGAGTGATCGTGCAGTGACATGAATTATGAGATCCGACGGTTCGAACTGCCTGACAGCAAGTCCGAGACCTGCCACCAGGAAAGAACATGGTTGGAATCATTCCACTTGCTCCTGCTCTGAACATGGCGAAGGATTTTTTCCTGAATTAGGGTATATTGGCCGGAATCCGTGAGAAAGGCCGATGCGTGTAGTCTGCCTACCTATGTATGTACGGAATCGAAGCTGATAACAAGTCGATACGGATACCAAGGGCAGTATTTTTCACGTGATCGTCGATTTGGTGCAGCCTCCCGAGTGCAATATAAATTGCTGTCAGGCAGCCATCCCGGAGGAACAGAACGGTAAGTCTAGGTAGGAATCAACCTCCCCTGGTTGCCCTCTTTCACAGGGTCCCGCCAGATGCAACGACAGCATTTTGACATCAACGCCGTTTTCATTTCCCTCCATGATCCCCTGCAACACCTGGCTACCTGAACTTGACCACCGATTCACCTCCGGCCTTGAGGCACATTTGAGAGGGATTTCCCTCTTTTAGACTGGCAGGGCGCGTTACAACGACCTACTAATGTAATACATGCCGTCGAACCTTCCGCTTTCCGTGCCATGCTACCTCGACAGACGGCGCAATTCTCACGGCCACACTAGCCTTCGCTTCCTACCATGACCGAAAATATCAATATCCCTGGAGAAAGCAGCGAAGCAGTTCCAGTGGTAGCCGCCTCAAATACTGGCAGTACCATTCTTCTACCGATTGAAGCATTAACCATACTCTGCCTGCATGTGACTTCGATAATCACCATCAGCCGGGATATACATTGCACCCCAATCCTACAAAGGCGGTTATCAGACGAGAGCACGGACAAAGAGGAGCACAGTGCCATACGCGACGAGGTACTAGTCAGGAAATTCTCCACGAAAAAGGCACCGGGAATTTCTCTGAGGGAGTACCTACTTAGATTACATCAATACTGTCCAATGTCTGCGGCTGTATATCTTGCTACGAGCTGGTATATCACTCGAATGGCCCTTGTCGAAAAGATCATATCAGTTACTACGCACAATGCGCACCGGCTTGTGCTTTCGGGTCTTCGCGTTGCCACAAAGATCCTTGAAGACCTCCATCATTCCCATACCCGTTTCTCGATGGTCGGAGGTGTCTCGACGAGAGAACTAACCCGGCTAGAGATTTGTTTCTGTTATCTGATGGACTTCGATCTCAAAATTAACGGCGATATTTTATCCCAGGAGATTACATTGTTTCAAGATCGATGCGATACTGCTTTCCCTGGCCGCCCAATTATGGCAGCCACGATATGTTGACATCTTTATCAACGCCCCGAACCCGTACCAACAGCAGCGGTGCAATGGAAATCCCGATGAGTGGTCACTGGACATGTCAACGGCCCGTGTGACATCGAAAGGTAGTTTCGAACAGACGTTCTGGCTAGACAGCAAAAAGAATTGTGCGGATTGTTGCACATAACTAGAGATGCTTTTCTGCGGTCCAGTGAGAAAATAAAAAATAAAACATCAATAGAACTAGAGAATCAATAAAGTGCCACGTCCAGTTTGCTGAACTGCATTCTTGTAATACACATCATTCACGCCTTATTGAGGCCCAGGCCACAATTAATGCGACCGGAGACTTGGACCCTTGATGCTGGAACCTCAAACACGAAGCCGGCCCGCGCCTCAGCCAATGAACTCAACGTTTGGCGAGATTCGCGGCTGAATCGCCTCATGCTCGATCTCAGATTTCAAGGTTTTCCTTTTTGCTGTCAAGGCTGATCGCGTTGTCTCTCCAGCCCTATCTGGTAGTCACTGCGGCGGCGAAATGAGTTTGCCTTATCCTTGACCGAAACACGCAGCGCTATAACTAATACTGGTTACTTTTTAAATCAACACCCTGGATCTGTCCATGTCCCTTGGCCGAATCGTCCACGAGTGATGTCCGCTTTACCTTCAAACCGAGAGTCGCAGAACACAACCGCGCAAAGTTCCGCTTCCTCCTCGACCTTGTCCAGAAAGGGGTCTGGCGATTCTCCCGAACACGGGGCCCGGCACGATGCGGTGGAACTGAAGGATATCAATTCCGGCAACGGGGGCGAGGAGCTGTTGCCGATTGAAGAGGATATTATGCAGCTTGCGAGGTTAGGAGAGATACCAGCTATTCAGAAACTCTTTGAGAGTGGGAAGTTCGATGCGAAATATCGAGATGCGGAAGACATCACGCCATTACACGTTTGTATAATACAATCCTTCAGCTGGCCCGACGCTGACGACTGACCGTTTGCTTTCTCTGCTTCTAGTGGGCCGCAATCAACAATCGGTATGAGCTCTGCAAGTTTCTGCTTAATTCAGGTGCAGACGTGAACGCCAAAGGCGGTGAATCGGTTGCGACTCCGGCGATGTGGGCGGCCCAGCGATGTCATTACTATATCGTCGAACTGCTCCTACAGCGCGGAGCCGATCCCCTTCTCACAGACGCCCAGGGCTATAATATATTGCACTTGGCCACAATTGACGGAAATGCCTTTCTCCTCGTCCTCCTCCTACACCAAGAAATTCCGGTAGATGTGACCGACTCCCAAGGGCATACTGGCCTGATGTGGGCCGCATACAAAGGGTTTCCGGCCTGTGTTGATCTCTTCCTTCGATGGGGTGCCAACGTCAATGCTGTTGATGAAGCAGGGTTTACGCCCCTCCATTGGGCTCTGGTCAAAGGCTCGACGCCGTGCATTCAGAAACTCCTCGAATACGGGGCCGATCGGTTTGCGAAAACGAGGGATGGCAAGACGCCGGCGACTGCGGCTGAGGAGATGAAAACAACCTTCTTCTGGCATCGCGCATTGCGCGAATGTGGATATAAGCCCAATGGTGACGTGATACAAATGCCCTTCGGACTGGCTACAATTCTACGAACGAGACGATATGTTTCTAAATTCTTCTTTCTTTGGCCGTTTGCCATCATACTTGGTGCCGTGTGGATACTTAGCGAATTTTCCGTCTACATCTCTGTACCGTTGACGCTTGCTTTCGTTTTTGGCATGCAGTGGGTGGCACAATGGGTTGCGAACCGGAGTCAAGTGGAATTTCGGGTGCTTCAACGAACAGTAAGTCTCTCGATAACAGGCTTTAATTCTTAAGACCTGACGATATTTCTAGCCTTTCCTAGCAGGTGTGTTTGCGGCTTCGCTGTTTTGGGTTGGTGTTCGGTGGCTTATGAAAGTGTTACCCCGTGAGTCTTTGCCCGGCTATCCGTATTTTACACATGGCTTACTTTGCTAGATACTTATTCTTCTGATCCCTTCCTCAATTTCTTCTTCGCGGTATTCTTTTCACTTACGACCTATTTCTATTCCCTGTCCATGACAGGGGATCCGGGATATGTGCCTAAACTTTCTAGTCGAAACCAGCAGCGGGATGTAATATCAGACTTATTTAAGACCTGGCAATTTGACGAGGACAACTTTTGTGTGTTTTGCATGAATAGGAAACCTCTGAGAAGCAAGCATTGTCGGCGTTGCAAGCGTTGCGTTTCGAAGCATGACCAGTGGGTATATCTGTCCACCTACTTATGGCATTGACTGACTCAATATAGTCATTGTCCCTGGATTGACAACTGCGTTGGGACCAATAATCTCCGGCATTTCGTTTTGTATATTTTTAATATGGAAGTCGGCATCATAATTTTCATTCGGCTCGTATTCAATTGTAAGTCTCCGTGTTGGCGATCCTGATTTAAAGCTAATCCGGACTGTAGACCTCGAGTCGCTACCTTCACCCCCAGATTCTGAATGTAATATTCTGTCATCGTCACTATGCAGCATGGTGAAGCGAGATACCTTTACCATCATCCTTACGGTTTGGATAGCCATTCAGCTGGTCTGGATCACGCTGCTATGCGCCGTGCAACTCGTCCAAATTTCACGAAACCAGACGACATATGAGAACATGAAAGGCCATTCGTTCGATTATGCGGATCCTGCTGCGCGGGCGATAACATCCGCTCTGACCACCGGAACCACATCTGCCGAGCTGGGCGGGCTTGATTCCACGGGCCAGGGCCCGAATCCGTCGATTCCACCATCCGGCCCTGGACGCCATCGCCACGCACATGGAGGTTGCTTTGCGCAATGGAAGAAGCTGCTGGGTCTGGATACCTTCATGGCGACGGCTCAACACGGCCTTGGAGATCGGCGCGCATCTCGCTCTCGGAACCCGTTCTCTCGTGGGATCGTCACAAACTGTCGAGATTTTTGGTGCGATCCTAGTCCGTATTTTGGTAGGAGAGAAACTGGAATGGCCATGCTGGATGGTAGCGTCATAAATTACAATACGATGTATGAGGTTCCATTGAGGTTGAGGACTGGGGGTTCCGGGATGGTTTATCGAAGCGTGGCAACGGAGGACGTTTAAGATTTTGTGCCTGGGATATCAACTACATGTCAATATTGTGCTTTGATTCCTTTGATGAAGAAATTCCATATTAAGCTAACGGCCGCTGTTTAGTCTCACATGCCAATACCTTGCAGCTGCATAGAAAAGCAGGACATTGTTGATCTCCCACTCAGCCAAAGTGCCACCGCGACTGCAAGTCTGACTTACTACGCGTCTGATTGCTAGCCTTCTTATTCCAGTAGTTGATAACATGGGCGCTGGCTTGGCATGCACGCTGATATGCATTACAGGAGGACCTTTTTCACTGCATACCAGTCAGAGCCAATGTAGTTGAAAACGCACCACTTGGTTTACTTCAGCTCTCCAGAAAAGACCAACAGGGATAGAGTGCAGGGATCGTGGCCTGGGATTCAACGACGAATGCATCGGGGGGCTAGTGATCAATACGTTATTGACACTTGGGCCTCGCGATGGACCGCGCCATGCAGCATTGACAAATGATAAGAAATTACAATTTTTGACAGTGAAATAACTACCACTCCGTTCTTTGCCAGTTCATCGACATCCATTCATCAGCCGTTGGGCCACCCTTCTGGGTATAGAGGTTGAAGGGAAAATTCTGATCCGTTTGATCTAGTGGTGGGAAAGTTCCCAAAAGGGCTGCAACAATTAGCCCAATGTTCTCATGATACTAAGACGGATGAAGACGGACATACACTCGTAAAGGCCCATAGAATCCGGAATAGCTGGCTCAGCGCTGGTATCATGATTGTCAGTATTCGAGTTTGGATGGGTTCCGGTGACTCGCCCATCCATCAGCGCGTTAGCGTTGTGGCTCCTAGGAGAGATGCCCCATCCATGACCCTCACCAGCTCTCGCGAGAACAATGTTGACAGTTTCGGCGGCCTTCTTCGCCTCAATAGATCCGGAACACTTTCGCACCCAGATCGCTCTTGATCGCCGCAGCGCCGTTATAATCTCTTCTTCACGGTTTAGGGTTTTTCCTTGATGTAACAGTGAACACAGGATCACAGTGGCGGTTAGGAATTGATGGTTCATGATCGAGGATACACGCCAGCGGAGTGTGTGGAGTAAACCTTCAGGGCACGTTTCCTCATCTAGGATATGCTGGATATCTAAAGTGCCGAGTGAGGCGTCAAGGCATGCTGTGCGAGAATAGGTGAACGGGTCATCATTTCCATCTGCGGGGGGCTTCTGGTAAAGAAACCGCCGATGCAGAATGATTTGCCCCTTATAAAACATGTGGCTAATAAAGAGACGTGACATGATGATATGGGGGGAATCCATCACGCTAGCCGCGATTGGTTTCGTCTTCAAAGGAGGCGGAATGCTAGCAAAAGCGTCGTGCAAAATGCCGTCGACTCGCATTACTTCCGCATAGCTACAGGGTTTAACTGCAGCAGTGAGATCTAATATGGTGCCTAATGCCATCAGCATTCTTCTTCGAGCAATGATACCCAGGGCTGCTGTATGTTCTGTCTCAGGTCGCGATGGGCACAGCTCAACAGTCTCCTCATCAAAGTCGGTATCATTCAGGTTTCGAGGCTCGGCGGTGTCACACCGGTTTTCCGCAATCATCCGGGGAAGCCCCATCTGGCTGGATATGAGCACGTCACTCATTAGGACCGTCGCCCACAGGCGGCGTCTCATCTCGCCTTGAAGAGGTGATATCCCCGGAAAGTGACTAGGGTCGCGGTGGTATCCCATTCGCATAGCAAGATTGACCTCCAGCGCGAGCAAAAACCATGTGTCCTTGTCCGCATCGGCCCGGATACCGAACTCAATATAGACATAATTAATGACAGTTTCTAGGACATACGGGCCAGATCGAGTGTACTCGCCTGCAACAAGGCACTGTACTATTTTCTCGCGATATAGATCAAGTTGTAGCGACTGCTGCTTGATTTTATCTTGACATTGTATGCTGTCTGGCGGCTCCGCGGCTAGTACTGCGAGGCCAATCATACTGAAGAGTAAGCCGACCCATGTGATCGGTACGCTGGAAGGATCAGCCCAGAATGCTTCATACTGTGGGCTTGTTAGCTCTACGAATCGGGTTCGTAAGGGTGATAAAGTTGCAAATTACTTGCCTCTCGCAGAAAGCTTGGGCCATGAACAGCAGCTGGGCGAGGATAGGCAGATTAGCTGTTGATACTATATAACGGAGGGGAAATGATAAATGTGGCACCGACAGGAGGACACTAAGTCCAAATGATTAAAATAGCGAGAGATATAGCGGTCCACAGCGGGCTTGGGTGGTAATGCAGCAAGGATTTCAGCCTTTGATGATTGACGGCAGCCATAAAGCAACAGCGCGTGTGGCGATCGCGATCTCGGTCGAGATCCGCAATTTTCATCGTCCTGTAGCAAATCCGGACTGCTTGCTAGCTGCAACCGCTCCTCACAGTCAAAATGGTCCTTCAAATCAGCGATGCTCTCTAGAATGGCATCCCAGTGATCTCCGCTGACGTAACGCAGTTCCGACGCGCTCATACGCATGCTTCCGCACTCCGAACGCCCATCCATTGGCGTCTCCCCGGACATTGTCTCCGTTACATCTGCAGAGCCGCGAACACTTCCCGGCACCGGTTTTCGGCTTGAATCCGGAGTAGGGAGTGGGTTAGCCTGGGTGCTTGTGCCTGGCACTAGAGACATGACTAGGCGCTCAAGCTGAACGATCCGATCGTGCAGCCCCGACCCTGCTCCTGGGGCCGGCTGCGGCAATTTGGGCAGCAAAGAAGAGGGCCCGTGGCTGTCCACATAAACGCACGTCAAACCACGCGACGAACAGCTAGAACAGGGCCGTCTGCGGTCACACCTCAATCTAAGCCACAAACGGTTGGCGTTAGCGATAAAGCGCAATAGTATTAGACGGAAAGTCGGTGCTGCCCTCACTTGCGGCGACGGCATAGTTGGCAGGACAATTGCGGCTTTTCCCGCCGTCGACCGGATTTGGGCTGTGGATGCTGGGAGGCCGGGAGTTCGGACACAGCGGTGGTGACGGGCGTACCCATCTCACTAGCAGAAGACATTTGTGCATTAGAGTAGCGGTGAGCCAGCAGAAGTAATGGAGCACAGGAATTGGCCTCTTCTCGAGGTCGTTTCGTCTTTACCTCGTTAACACGAGAAACGACATGACACGACGTTCAGCCGCGACTTTGAAATCGCGACGTCACGTGGCACAACGCTGACTAACCAATAGGTTAACCTCAGAAAGGGGCCATCGAACAACTAGCACCAGCACAGCATCACTGATTTCAGGGACTGTGATGACCCGCGGACTTCAATTTGGCCCTCCGCTGTCTAGGTTTACTAAAAGCCTGACAAAATGTACTTTTGCCAACATGCCAGGGCTGGACCGTCGTGCCGTCCGACCCTCCGCGGCCATAAGACGGACATGATCAAGCGGGCTGTATACCAGACCGAGATATCGTATCAGAGATGTCTATATTTAATACCTCTTTCTTCCGGGTGCTCACTCTCTTCTAGTGCTGATGGAGGAATATGCTCTTAAATGCTACGACCGTCCTGTTAGGCTATGAAAACGGGAGCGTCTTCCTGAGCATTCCTCAAACACTCACAGTTCTCAGAAACTTGCTTTTTTTTGTGCTTCTGTTTTTATCTATTTTGGTGGCGGAACTATGTCCCAGACAGACCAAAGCCTCAAAAAGACCGCAGGCTCCCTTGAGTCCCATCAGTTAAAGGACGAGAGTCTACCAGACGCCACGATTGTCGACTGGGACGGGAAAAACGATCCGGCCAACCCTCACAACTGGCCAAGTCCGAAACGATGGGTACACATCGTTTTGGTGTCTCTACTTGCCCTGGTGACGTACGGATTCTCTTGTGGTCTTGGGTACTCGCGCGAAGTGCTGACTTGGTGGTAGGAATATGGCTCCAACAATGTGTGCACCTGGCATAGAGAAACTGATGGCCGAATTTGACATCACCTCTCACACCGTCAGCACCCTTGCCATTACGCTCTTTGTCCTGGGTATCGCCATCGGGCCCATGGTCATGTCCCCCCTCAGTGAAGTGTATGGTCGCCGGCCTGTCTACCACATCGCCAATGTTATGTTCATTGCCTTTATGGTTGGCAATGCCCTTAGTCGCAACATAGCACAATTTATGGTTTTTCGCTTCATCTCCGGCTGTGCAGGCGGGACACCCATGGCGCTTGGCGGAGGGACGGTTGCAGACGTCACAACTCTGCAAAACAGGGGTACTGCAATGGCATTGTTTAGTCTGGGTCCATTGGCTGGGCCGGTGAGTTCGCATCCCTTCCTTCAACGAGCCGTACTCACCTGTCCATTCTATAAGGTACTCGGCCCCGTGATCGGAGGCTTTGTGGCAGCAGACCTAGGTTGGCGCTGGACATTTTGGCTGCTAGCGATTCTAGGTGCCGCAGTCGAAATTGCAGCCCTTGTTTTCATGCGAGAAACCCACCCAAAGGTGCTTCTTGAGCGCAAGGCCGCACGGCTACGTGCTGATACTGGCAACCCGCACCTCCGCTCCCGCCTCAGCAAGCCGCTGACTCCCGGCCAAGTGTTGACTCAAGCTCTGATCCGCCCCACCAGCCTTTTGTTGCGCTCCCCAATTCTGCAAGTAATCTCCCTCTACGTGGCATTAGTGTTTGGACTCATGTTTCTCCTACTTACTACCTTTACCGCTGTCTTTGAGGGCCAGTATGGTTTTCAAACCTCTACCGCAGGTCTGGTCTATCTGGGTCTAGGCGTGGCTCTGGTCACCAGTATGCTGGTTTTCAGCACATTGAATGGGCGGGTGGAGGCGGCTCGAATGAAAGCCGATGGTGTGGGGCAGCCTCGCCCTGAGTATCGCTTGATACTGATGATCTGGCTCAGTCCCTTTGTGGGAGTTGGGCTGTTCATCTATGGTTGGACTGCGTACTACAAGGTGCACTGGATGGTTCCTATCATTGGAACCACATTTATTGGCTTTGGGGCTTTTTTTGTTATTGTAAGTTCCTGCGCCCTCTTAGGTGATACCTTCCGGTGCTCATTCAATCAAGATGCCAGCACAGCTTTATCTCGTCGACCTATTTGGCTCAGCAGCGGCTGCTTCTGCCCTCGGGGCAAACAATCTTCTCCGATATCTCTCGAGCACCTTCCTCCCGCTGGCCGGCCCAAGCATGTACAAGACGTTGCATTACGGTTGGGGGAACACGCTATTGGGATTCCTCGCCCTAGCATTCGTCCCAGCGCCTATTCTATTCTACAAGTATGGAGAGCGGCTCCGCGCCAATGATAGCGTAAAGGTTTAAGGAATACCGAATTTTTGAGCATCTTGACTTTCTCCACTCATCCGAATGTTTATAAAAATAGAATATCAGCTACTCCGTACTTACAGTAGTATGTAGCATAACAGCATAACAGCATAACAGGTACTGAATATTATTAGATTCCATTGCGGGCCAAAGTATTTTTGCTTTGTCAACTTCCGATGACCATAATCTCTACAAGGTATTGCCACCAAGCAAACAATTAGCACAGCAGAAAACCCCGAACGATGAAGCACTACTGGCCAAAAAAGACGGCACGGCCTATATTCTTGAGAAGAATTGTCCTCAAGAGGTCTCGGAGCCTTGATACTCAATCGATCCTCCTAGCACATTCCTTGCATAACTCCTAGTATTCTCAGTCTTTAGGTCAGCCAACAGAATTGTTATCCCATTTACTAGAACCTCAGATCCCCTTGTTCACCTGTGCTCACCCTTACTACCCCAATGCCTCACCAAGCACTCATGATCCCGAGCAAATACGAATCAGTACTGCAAAAGGCAGCCAAAGGGACTGACAAACTTATTGAGTGGCCTAAGTATGACTGAACGGATGGCCAGCCCTTTTTGCCACTTCCTATAGTCATCTGTGCCGTCGCTGACCGATAGAAGACACATATTGTCAAAGCCATTAAAAGGTGGGAAAGGCAGCCAAGGGTATAATCAGAATAGCTTTACATAATTTGCTTCGCAAGTGAGGACCTGAATTGGACGAACACCGTGCATCTTGTGCTATAGAAAATAGAGCTTCTGGCTGGGAATGGAAGAGGTTGTAATGGGAGATTATCGTTGATGGCTACAAAGCAGCAAAAGTTATGTCTTAACGCTACTAACAAATCATATATGCATCAGTCTCTCAATAAAGTTCGATATTAGCTTTTCATGGTGAGAGCGGCGATAACAATGAAGATATATTACATCTTCTCGAAGGTAGCCATCAAAGAACCTAGTAACTAGTTGTTAGACTTACATATCATAATGTGGGAGAAGCTCAACTGAAACAACTTACCAATGAACGTGGTGATAAGGCGAGATCGGACTTGACAAATATCCTCAGGAACCAGCCAAATAGTAGCCCCCATTTTTCTCGCAATACTAATGGCGAGTTTTGCATTTGCATAAGCCTCATCATCGGTCCGTCCGCTGGTGACAAGCTCGTAGTCCACATAGCTACTCTTCATGCCGTTCAAAACGTCAAGAAGGAATATTCCACTGCCGATTGTCTGGTCCTTGAAGCTTCGAATAGACGAACTCTTGCCTCCCTTTCGGGACATCTCATTAGCCCATTGAATCATCTCCCCATCCGTAATTTCACGTTTGCCCATACGATTGGCAAGGGAAGACAGAGTGTTGGTAATGTCTTTCCTCATGAGCTGCCACACTAAGCCGAGGGTTAGCGTTCTCTGGCCATCTGTGATGTCAGCGCCTTGGATGCCGACGAGGGAGAAACGGTTTTGCTTTCCGAGTTCGATAGCGTAGTTGGTGTTTTCAACAGCTTTGAATTTCATCATTTCGCCGCCATGCGCTGGTGGTTTGTTGACGTGTCTCCAATTCACACTACCTGGAATAACTTTGTCATAGGCTTGCAGCAGAATGGTCCCATCCCTGAGATCGTCAAATAGGGAATTGACGGCGGGCTGAACATCCAATGAATTGAGCCAGAGAGTGAAAACCCGAGCTTCACGTTCACCTTCGGCGTCGAAATCTTCCACTTCTAGTTTATCTTCCTCGGTAATCGGCTCGAGACCAGGATGCGTGTTGAACAGGTTTGCGACGAACGCCAGGTTAAGCTTTGGGTTACCTGCAACCAGCGAAGTTGGTGTCAAGAATTTGCGACACTGTAATGATTCCGCGTTCTGGAGGACCTGCTCTGCACGCTGGAGGAGGTCAGGGGTCTGGAGTGGTTTCCGCGAGCAAAGGTCCGGTGCCAATTGATTGAGGAGCACTGTGTAGTTGGCGCCGTCCTTGACATCGCTCGAAAAGTTTGCAACTCTGCGCAAGCACCTTAGTAACTATTCGATATCTGATTTTGATAGACAGGTCCTCACCTTCTGTCCCAGTTTGCATTTTTCAAATGGTAGTTGAACCAGCGAAGTAAGATTTGTTCCGGCGGAAGTCGAAGGAATTGCTCCAAGGTCTCGTCTTCCTCAAGAAGCCGGTATAATTCAGGGTGCAATTTAATGTCAATTTTACCCAGAAGGCCTCGACGGATAATCTGCCAGATTAAACCGAGAATGAGGTGCTCCCGGACCTCGATAATATCACCGCTTCCAATGTTCACGACTGAACAGCCGATACCTTTCGCGGAATTGATTACGATATTGTTATTTTCAGTCATATGGAATGCGTTTAGCTGCTTAATCTTCTTTCCCGGCCTGTTCAATACACGCTCATCGATGGTATCAGGGACACTGTCGTTGATGAGCTTAGCAAGTACCAATCCGTCCTTGCATTCATCGAACATTTCGAAGGTATCAGTGGGAAAGGGGAGGAGGTGGCCGATATCCGGATCTCCGGCAAGCACGGCATTAATATGCCTGGTAAATTCGGTCCTTTCGTCTTCATTGATAGTATGTGTAACGTTTGCCGACGAGCCCTGGACGTGGATCTTGCCGCCAACGCTTCCTTTCGAGGCATGTCCACGAGTCGGAGCGACACTTGTGGGGGGAGCAACGTCTCTCGAGCTGCGCAGCTTCGATATAAGCTATGGGCCACCGGTAAATTCTCAGTCAAGTTCCCGCAGGTATCATCACAGGGAGGGCGCGACAAACATCAACATAGTCTTCCAGCTCAACCCGGCGAGAGCTGTCGAGCTCCACCTCCTTCAGTGCTGACCGTACGACATCGTATGGCTGCCTTTCGGACTGTTGAGTCGCTTTGATCACGGTCGCCTCATCGAGATAGCCCTTGTCATCGACATCTAATCGCTGGAACGCATCTTGGAGAGTGAAGATCTCGTTTTGTTGGAATTGGGGGTACTTTCTGCGGTCAATGTCAGCCCCGCCTCACCAACCACTGGTATGTATGAGAGGATCTGTCGCAGCAACTCACTTTGTTAATTTGAAAATATTCATGATTGCAATCGATCGCAATGACTTGTTGCGAAAAGAAGTCCGAACCTAGTCCTTGGTGGGGGTTTGCTGCGAGGCACAATCCACAAGTGTATTCGCAAAGTCTGAAGCGCAGCGATGGATGAAGGTGGGAGATCTCAAGCCAGATAAATGACGTACATCCAGAACCACACAGGAAGGCAAACAGAATATAAATGACCAGCTAGAGGGAAATGTGCCCAACTTATATTCCTTTCGTTTGAAGGTAAGCTTGTTTGACGCAATTTGCCAACAGGCATCTACATATTCGAGGGACGGCTTGTTACGTATGTGCCTCTCGTCGTCATCCATGGAATTGCTCAGCCTTAAATATCGGAGTTGGGCGTTCAAAACCCGAGCGGACCAAGTTACATTTAGATCCCATTGGTGAGTATGCTCCTAATAGACAATCCTTTTCAGTAAATACAAGGATTAGGCTGCCGAGATTCTATTCGCAGTTCAACCAATTTCCGTCAAAATCAGATTTCGAAACGCAATATACCAAGCATCATTGCTAATACATACAAAGCCATTCAACACTGGGCATTTGGGGTATTTTGCACCAACACGCGAAGGCCCATGAACGCCTTCGCACAAGATTCGGAAGAAGAAAAGTGCAATCTGTTGCCCTGAGAATTCAGTCAGCATCTGAATCCCCAGCTACCAACTTTTCGACAAGAGCAACAGTAGCCTCTGGACCTCCGGCTTTGAGGAGGAGCACTTCGCCAGCCTTGTTAACGGCGAAGACTCCGCGAATTGTGCCCTTGGGTTGCTTCTTGAGACCGATGGGCCCGATCAGTTTGGCTGATGGATCACAGACCAACGGATAGGGAAGGTTGTGCTTCTCCTTAAACTTGGTGTTGGCGTTTGGGCTGTCAGTAGACAAGCCGTAGATCGACAATCCAGTCGAGGACAGGTTGTCGTAGCGGTCGCGGAATAGGCACGCTTGCCTCGTGCCTTTTAGATGGGGACATGGTCAGCAATGCGCATATCCGTAGAAACTGGAAACCATCTACATGCGCTTTGGGGAGCATTTATTCAAACATGGCAGCGCGCGACCGCTTTTAATTGCGCGTGATGGTAACCACCCGTTCCCTGCGGGCGCAAGCATGCGCGCAAACGCGCATCAATCAAAGCAGCAAACAAGAAGAGATTGACTTACATCCCGGAGTCGAGGCTTTCGGATACGTGAAGAATACGACACCGTCCTTGCTAGACTCTAGAAGCGCCTTGAGAGAAGTTGCGGTGCCGTCTTGAAGCTGTATCTCGTCTTGATATTGCTCGAGATCGAGGACAGTCCCAACCGTAGGGACTTCGAGGCTGGATGGTTTTGGAGCGCTCTTCTTGGTCTCCGCCGCCTTGGGTTTCGATTCTTTGACCTTTGGGGCTGAAGCTTTGGTGCTGGTCCTTTTCCTTGCGACCTGCGCGTCTTTGGGCTCTGCAGGAGCCTTTCGCTTTCTGAGCTCCATTGGCATTTTCGGGAAGTAAGAAGACGGATCAAGGTTTATCAAGATAAATACGAAGTACAACAATTGCGTCTATCACCAAGCTAGAGACGAGAGTCAAGGCGAAGTAGGAAATCAGATGAAGTTGTGTTGAGAGCTGTTTGGGCTAAGGAGTCAGAAAAACAACACGCGCCGAGAGATCTTTCGCGCCCCCTTGCCATCGACCAATCCTACCTTCATCAACGCTAGGGTGGACTCTGTACATTCGACTTTATTGATATTTAGCCGACAGATGGCCAAATACATCCTTAGAATCATTAACTAATTAACTAGTTACCTTTTACCTCTGTTTTTGCTGGGCCGTCTACTGGTCATCTCTTACCACTAATATGGCTCATTGGCAAACAATGAATGCGGTCTTTTACTGGATATTACCGGCTTCACAAGAAGATGGCAACAACTCAGCGTTGCGTCCTTAACTACAGGGCCTAGGTCCTACTTCTAGACTGAGGCACTAGCAGCCCGTGCCTTATCGGACGTTGGACTGCCGCGGTGGTAGTAACTGATTATTGAGTCTTACAATAGTTGGGTCGTAAACTATTGCCATGCGCGCTTGAGTTGCTGTCTCCGGCACCATCTATGATCGCTGATTTTGTTGAAGAGAGATCTAGGCGCTGGTTTGCGACACTGTTTTTTGGTCACGACGGATATCCGGAGTGCAGGATGCAACCGTTCCTTCTAGCACCCTGGGTACTCGTTATCCTGTGAGGGAGCGAATTCTATCGCCAACCGTGACCTATTTTGAGTACACAGAGGAGATGTTCAGGTTTACTTCGATCAACATCATATCAGTACTCTTCCTTGTGTTGTCTTTTTTCTGAGGTACCCCTGAGTTGCATGGTAAGCCTTAATGAAGGTCGACGATAAAGCCAACTTACCAATTGAATTGGAGAGCATGGGATATAACGTTGCGTACGAGAGCAAAATCCCAGGCAATGCTCCAGGGCACGGAGGCGGTCTAGCACTCGGCTGCATTCACCCCAATCCGTATAGATCAAGGTTTAGCAAAACCCCGGTCGTTTCGCTCTTTTAGGCACTCTGGTCGAGCAAAACGAGAGACTGCCTTCGGACTTGGCGAAACAAGAGACTGAGATGGAGCTGATTTTCTGATTATTTTCTCCTGGGGTGCAAAACTCGGTCTTTGGAGGTTCTTAACTTCCTCAGGGAAAGGATGTAAGGGGACCGTTGAACGCACTCGAGCCGGTAAACGTTGACCTCCCGTCGATATAGAGCTGGATGGTCTTCAGTCTTCAGCATAATCCTAGAAACAATATTAGACCAAGGCATTGAAAGTAGTTTACTAATATCAAAACGCACCGAGTGGACGTCTCCTCAACATAGGCCTTGTAGACGTTTCGTTGCCCGGGGCTTAGCAACCCGATAATTACTTTTTTGCCCGGAGACGAATACGTTTTGCCCTTTCAACAGGAGGTCATAAATCGTATGAAAGGCTACAGGTGGAGTACGTGAAGAATATCAATGTCGCTCTGAGATCCGAGATCAAGGGTTCATCGGAGCGGAATATCTTTTGCATCACGACACGGACTTGGAAAAGATGCAATCTAACCTAGTTGGGCTAGTTAGTAGGTCACGTGCTGCTCCCTTACGTCCAGTCGACGCCAAGGCTGGTTGGAACGAGCGAATCTGGCTTGCAACTGCGCTTCGATTCCATTTCAGTTTACGAGGAACTGCTCAGAGGCTACAACAGCTCAGCCAGGAGCCTGTGAGCAACATGAGACCTACAAGAGTGCTCAGAGCGGCAAGAGCTGCAGGGGGTGTTGTTCCCGTTGGTGAGGTAATTAACCACCACCATAATCGGCTCCACGAACGAGCAATCGCTAATCCACGATCATATAGAAATACACAGTCCAATCGTATGGTATATGGGAAAAGCTTCGGCGTCTCCTCTCTGTCGACCCAAATCGCTCCACCGGTATTCCCATCAACGCCCAGTTCCGAAACCCCACCCCCGGAGCCCTTCCACCACAATCGTACACCGACCCGGTAACCATTCCTGCTGGCGATATCGCAGATAATCCATATTGGAAACGAGATGCGAGAAGGAACTACCCACAGCCTAGTGTGTTAAGCCAGGCCGATGTTGTCGGACTCCTCGCGGTGGGAAGCAAAGCCGAACCGAACGAACAGGCACTTCTTCCCGGCGATGCTGGCAAGCAGCAATTGGTCGAGATTAAACAGGAGGGTGAAGAACGTGGCCTGGCGGCATTCTTCTCCGAGAAAGGAAACAGCCCCGCGCGTGTATTAGGCCCTAATGGACTTCCTCCATTCCCGGCCAACCTCAATCGCAGTGCGAGATATCCCAAGGGTGAAGAACAAGCATATCCATCCAAGTATGTCCTCTGGATATTACATGAACGCTCTTCAGCTGCTAACGCTCTGCTAGATATCCGTGCCGAACTTTCGTATAACCTCCCGCCAATCAAACCGCCCCCGTTTGCGACTCAATAGACTCTGAATATACTGTACAGGTTTTGCTATCAAAACAACCACTTGAAAATCAATTCCCTTTATTGATCTCGCTATTCTAACTTGTGATTTTGCGTCCTCTCTATGGAACGTGAACTACCCTGTATGCTTTCAAATCGCTCGTAATCACACATTCCAATTGACTACAGCGCGATACATGGTTTGGATCCGATTTAAGCCTCGACCCAAAGTCCATTCAGTAGCTGTATTCATCTGATCGAATTGTAAATGCTTCTATCAGGTAGTCTTGAGTGCTGAAATGCTATGCGTTGCTCTATTGAGCGTATTCCAGATACCCACTCGCCAAGCCGGAGCGGAAGATCAATTTCCCTCTCAGAATTTTGAATATTCCGTACTGGAAACAATTTGGCTAAAGCTTTTGAGGGATCAGTTTCGCAAAACGCAGGGCCTTGGATTTGGAGCCAGTGGCTTGCAGCGGTTGCAGGAGTCTATTCGCTAGAAGAAATTCATATTCCCGTTTTGATGACTTATACCTCTACTTAATTGCAGCCACTATAGCTCTCTCACCTCGACGCGCTACTATTTCCTCAGCTTCTGCACTGAGTTTTATAGTCGAAAATTCGTGTAGAAAGCCTTCAAAATGGAATCGCCTCCATCTGCACAAACCTCCGCTTTTGACTCCATGGCCATAGCGCCGATTACAGAGATCCTTTCGTCGAAACCGGAAGATTTCCTCGGACCGTCCGCCCTTCTCTTCGCCCAGTCAACGGCCGCCCTGAAACATTATCTCGATTCTCTAGCCTCGAACACAGCCCAACTTCAGCAGAAAGAACAGCTTCTTCAAAGCGGGCAGAAACGGAAACGAAACGAGAATGTGTCGGGCCCCAGTTCGAAAAAGTTGCAGCTTCGTGAGGTACATGTAGATGGATTCAATGTGCGGCAAGTGTGGGAACAAACGCAACGAGTATTGAAGGCTTCATCGGAGCTTACCCGACAACATGCTGCTGATATATCGCAAAATTTGGGTCAAGAAAATGACAGCACTGGTAGTAACAGCGCCTCAGGCTCGGGCTCAGAAATTGAAGACATAAGTGAGGGTGATATTTCAGGCGAATCGGATGGTGACGAAGATATGGAGGATACGTCAGGTTTCCTTGAGGAAAAAGAAGACGAGGAGGAGAATGAACAATTCGAAGAAGCCGACTCGCAGGGTTCAATTGAGGTGGATGGCTTAGAGGATGACGACAATGCTGCCAGCAAAAGGCAACCAGCATCTTTTGTCCAAGATCGCCACGGCTTAAATGATGGGTTTTTCTCGATCGACGAGTTCAACAAGCAATCAATGCTTTTCGAAGACCTGGATACCAAGCGGGCTAGAGACGACAAGGTTGGCAGTGACGAGGAGGAAATTGATTGGGAAGGTGATCCTTTCTTACTCGGCGACGCCGAATCGGATTTAAATGAGGAGGACGAACAAGAAGAAAGACTCGATGATGGGGACATTGATAGTGACCCTGAGGATGATGCACGAAACGCGACCTACGACCAATTCTTCAATCCACCTGCCTCCGAACATATCAAGAACAAGCACGTATCCAAGGAAAAATCTAAACCATCTGACGATGACCTCGACGCGGATATTGATCGAGCCATGGCGGATGTCCACCGCGATCTGTTTGATGATGAAGACTCCGAGTTTGATGACAATGAGAATTCAAAGAGCAAAGGCAAAGCTGCCGAAACTAACCAGTCGACTCATGAGAAGGCGCGGAACAAGATTACGGATGAAATTCGCCGACTAGAAGCAGCTAATGTCGCCCACAAGGAGTGGACTCTGACTGGTGAAGCTAGAGCGGCGGATAGGCCACTTAATTCGCTAATTGAGGAGGATTTGGATTTCGAGCGGGTTGGGAAACCAGTCCCGGTTATTACAGCAGAAATCACAGACGACATCGAAGCACTTATCAAACGAAGGATCGTTGCCAAAGAGTTCGATGATATCATTCGAAGACCACCGCCTGGGCTTGGTGACTATAAGGAGGCAAGAAGCAAATTCGTTTTGGATGAAACGAAACCCCAACAGAGCCTAGCAGAGCTCTACGAGGTTGACCATTTACAAGCAACTGATAAAAACTTTGTTAGCAAGAAAGATGAGAAACTGCAAAAGGAGCGGGATGAAATCACACAATTATGGAATAACATTTGTTCTCAATTGGACACCCTTTCGAATATGCATTTCCGGCCCAAACAGCCATCTGCCAACATCCGTGTGGTTGCGGATGTCGACACTATTGTCATGGAGGATGTTCGACCTTCCGGTGGAGATGGTTTAGGTGCCGCTGGAACTCTTGCACCACAGGAGGTCTACGCTCCGGGGGATAAGGATCGCAGTGGAGAATTGATGACGAAGAGCGGTGCCGCGGTTGCTAGGGACGAGATGTCACGGGAAGAGAAGCTTCGGCATAGACGGCGCGAGAAGCAAAAGAAGCGGAAGAAGACGCTGCAAGCGCTCGAGAATCAAAATAGCGCTGCTGCAAAGAAACAACAGCTGGTGTCGAACCTTGGAAAGGGTGGAGTGAAAATCATTGGAAAAGACGGGTCTCTTACGGACATGCGGGGACAAAAGGTTTCTACAAATGAGAAATCCACAACCCAGCAAGCATTAAAACTATAGGGCCCTGGAGGTATGTCAATTGACGAATGAAGCTGGTTACGTGCTTTCAGACAGTGTATTATTTTTGCTGGCCGGCTGTGGCTTCTTTTTCAATATATACAAAAATATGCTTTGGTGTTTACAGGCAACGTGGTCAATGCCTTCCGTGACCTCTGTGATTTCGAATACTTTTCTAGCCATTTTAATAAATCGTAGATCCGCCTTGCGACGCTTCTTGAAACAGAAATAGCATACTGAATTTTCGTTCATCAACCCATCGAGGGTGGAGACGAGTAACGGGAACGCCGGCTCGAAATAAACGCAGTCCGCAGCGAGTATGACTTCGGGATGCATTGGCAATTCTCTCAATGCCTCGGAGTCTCCCCAGTTCAGTAACGCAGTGATTGCAGAGCCCGATAGTTCGTTTAACACAATATTCTCCTCGATTAGTTGTAGCATTGGTGTTTGATCCGTGACGTAGATGGGTGAATCGATTTTGCAGCCTTGCGCAACGGCGAGGCCTACCAGGCCACTACCGGCTCCGAGTTCGACACTAACATCACGCGTAAGTTAGTTAGAGAGAAAGTTCGCTGCGTTCACTTATCTCGGGGAAAACGTACATTCTCTTCCCAATAAGATCTTCCTTGTGTTTACGTAGCATATACTTCGCCAGCACCATGCCTGCTGGCCAGATATGACCCCCGCATCCTTCCTTAGGATCTTCTCGTAGTTTTAAAGGAGGTTCCAAAAGGCCATCGAACGTGAATTGGAGTGTCGTTGCGAGCTTGGTTTCTCTGGCGGGGACCAGGGATTCACTGATTTCCAGCGCCCCGACCTCAGCAGAGTTTCCAGGGGTGGAGGAAATCTCGTTACAATCCATTTAATCTGCGACGTAGATAGATCGGCTAGCGGATAAATAGACCTCACTGACGATTGATGGCTGACGAGCAACGGCGTCGTGTTCACCGTTCAGCGCAAGGAGAGGGGTGCCAGCGCTCTCTCGGCCTAACTTTTATCTCCATCTTATCAGATCCGATAAGATAAGGAGACCTGTCATGTGATTACAGGGCTGGAGCTATCCTGAAAAGGTTAGCGGAGAATGCTTAAATTCGCGATCCGAATCGATCACCTCCTTCGATCATCACCAACAACATCAGATGGCTGCATGCTTTGAGTGCATTGTTTTAATGATATCCCCGCATCATGCTAAAGGATTTAGACAGCTGTCGCGCGAGACAGATAAATGATGATGAGAGCTTGCAGCCCCGCGGGGAATACGTTGTCCAGGATCTCTCTCTAGCACCTTGCCATTGTCGATCATGAGGCATATTATGATCATTTTACTCTCAATAATGCGGTCCGGTATGAAGTCGCTGCGTAGCGGACCCATACGCTTGCTCGTATGGCCATATACATACAGGCACCAATATTGACAAGTCGTACACTTTGACGTTGCGTTTTTGGAACCGCTTTGTCCCCAAAAAGGCCTCAATGTCTTTTAATTTCAGATCAAACAACCTTGGCGCCTTTTCTTTGATTGTGTAAGATCATTTCTGCCCGGTGTGCTAGTTTCACATTGCATTTGCGGGGAAAAAATCGCTCAAGCTGTGCTCATCTGGGGTGCATTCGAGAACGACCGTTAGAAGCCTGAAGAGATTATAAAATGGGGCTCATACCCCAGATCTTTGGGGTAATCACACAATCATTCCGAGTCTCTATCTCATACTTCAGATTTCTTACCGAGTCCTTAACTCCTTCAAACCTTCACCATGCAATTCAAGAATTTCCTCGCCGCCTGCATCCTCGGGCTTGCATCCCTCAGTTTTGCGGCTCCGGCGCCCGGTTCCAAGCCCGATCTCAATTTCTACCTGAAAGAAGTCATGCCCGTCCAACTCCAGCGCATCGAAGACTTCCGTTCTTATTTCCCGCATATGACCCCAGAGCAGAACAAATATCTCGATGAGCTCTCCGACAAATTGACGAGCTTGGATTTCAAAGGTCTTGGCAAACTCCTGGACGAGGGCGAAGCGATCTTTAAAACCGATGAACCGATTAAGAACCCGGTCAACAAAACAACGGAAAAGCCGAAAAGGCAGGTTTACTATCCGTGGTACAAATCTCCTCGCTTCCATAACTTTACGGCGTCGCTGCGACTAGTTGTCGTTCATTATCAATGAGCAGCGGCTTGGAAGGAAGGGTTCAGGAAGAGATATCATCAGTGGTCGTTAGGTTTTTCCGAAACGTGGTTTGGCAGGCTCGCCGTTACGAAGGAATGAGATGTCATGGAGTCTTTTACGCGGTACATGGAAAGTGAGATTCGACCGTGATGTGGATAGTACAGGCCTGGATGCTTGTTGTAATACTACACGGTATACATAATTTGAATGCAGGATGTTTCTAGCGTCTTCCATACAGCCTGTGAATATACAGTATTAAATCAAACCCACCAAGCCCATTCTTGACATGCAGCGCGCGCAAGCAGGCAGATGTAACCGGTTTCCAAAATGATCCGGCTGCATTGTGGGTTTCGACGGCTATATGTGCGAAGAATCTTCAAATGTGTAATTCCAAACAGTGTTCAAGAGCAGTTCCTTTCAAATCTCACCCTTTCCACGCTGGCTGAAACAAAACTTTCTTGTTATTGGACCGAGAACGCTGCTTATTATCAATTGGAAGCTCAAGTTCCGGTGTATATTTTAATCAGAGTTTTTCACAAAGCCATTGACAATATCAGTCTGTGTCCAGCACCATGGCAATGTAGTGAAACTAGTACCTATTTCAGCGGGCCGAAAGGTTTATAGTGCTTGGGGATAGCGGTCTTAAATGTCGCTGGATGAAACACAGATTTTTAGTTTTTTGAATGAGTATTGACGTCAGTTGAAGAGGAGACTGGAAAAGTAAAGGTTAGATGCTACGGAGTACATGTGTGATATACACTCGGTACAAGCCTGTGATTGCGAAATCCAGAACAACATAATTGCATGCGCACTATCCAAATAAAATTGGTTAAAGGGCAAATCAGGATAATGTAAGACTTATTTCTTCCCTGCTTTTTCTTGTTTTTCTCGCATTGCAGCTCGAGCGCTTCTGCTTCCACCCAGCTTGGGGCCCCTGGGAACGTCGGTTTTCGAAGTTTTCGTGTTTTTGGATCTAACACCGCGTCTTCGCGACTGAATTGCATCCAAAAAGTCCCGTCTAAATTGCTCTGCAATGCGATCATCGGCGGCCTGATCGTCATCAAGCTGCTCGTGTGCTGGCTCCTCATAGACATCGACTGTAAAGCCATTAGTATCCAAAGCCAAATCAGTAGGAAGCCAGACGAAATGACTCACGTTTGCTTTCCCGTAAGACTTCTTCGACAAGTTGGTCTCGCCTGATATCTTCGCTATTGCGTCGCTTCCGCTGGCGCCATGGCTTCGGGCCTTTATCCGACCGAGGCTTCTTCGCAACTGTAGTTGCATCCTCAGTTTGCACTGGATCTCCACTCACGAGACTCCTTGTGGCAGCCTCTGTTCGCTCGATGTTCCGCAACTTCGAATCAGGCCCTAAGTCTATTTCGTGGAGTTTACCCAAGGTAGCCGGCTGCCGCTGGGGGATCCTGAAATCTGACTCCTGATTTCCAGGGTCCTCGAATACTGTTTGGTTAGATGTCGATTCAGCAGGTGTACTACGACGGTGACGTTTGGCAATCTCCGTCTCTATGTAAGTCATCCTTATCACGTTAGTCTCTATCACACAGCAAACAACGAGACTTGCAAAGTATCACGTACATATGTCTGTCGACATCGACCCTTTGTCCTGTAAGGCCAACGAAGCGATCCGAAATACCACCCAGTCGACTGGCCTCAGTGTCGTTCGCCACAGACGCCGCAGAAGATGGCTGAGGGGTATTTTCCGAGTTCCATCTGGATCCGGTCGAGAATTCTATTCCCGGTCTCCGTGACTTGAGTCCCTTTCGAGCACGGACTATTTTGGCAATGGGCACGGTTTGATCGTCGTCCTCCGGCGTGGGAGCGGCAGGAGGCGAGAGGTCCTCGGGGGTGTGCTGGGCCGGCAGCTCTTGAGCATCCGACTGAGAATCACCTGGTGGCGTGGACGGACGCCTGCGGATGAATTTTCTTCTTTTTGCCTGGTGGAAGACTGGCTCTTCGAGCTGCATTTTGTATCGCTGTTTTCGGCTGCTGGGGAAGGTGATGAAGTTGAGACTATGGCTGATGCGGTTGAATCTTGATTAAAAGATGCGGAGAGCTGGCCAGGGACGCTATTCCTAAAGCGGCAGTCACTTGCCCGCAGCTCGAAATGCGCATCGCGACATCTTCAACACGCTCCGGAATGGTGCAACCACCGCAAGTCTGAATACAACATTGTGTGCTTGATCAATTCCTGCCGTACTCTCTTTCCTTGCGCGCATACCTTTATCGGCGCCGGTCTACACAGCCGTGCTCTGGTGGCTACGAAAATGAACTCTTCAGTGCCGCCTGCGACGGCGGAATATGGTGGGGGTATGATTGTCCAATTTATGTCAGTCCCTAGGTATATCTGACCCTGTGGCTAAACACGTAAACATGCAGACGAGGTATCCGCTATCATTCTTGACCCTGGTTATTCCTCAGTTCGTGCCGGTTTCGCCGGCGAAGATACTCCCAAATCCGTAATACCGACCTACTATGCGAAATATCCTACGCCTGCACAAGACAAATACATCTATGGCGATAGCATTTATGTCTCCCCGCGACCCGGCTTGTCCGTTCACAACCCGATGGGGAAAGATGGAGTCGTGGAAGATTGGGATATGGCTGAGAAGTTGTGGGAATATTCATTCGCGTCAAGGTTAACGCACACGAAACCGGGCAATCCAATGCTCAATGGTTTAAATGACCCATCAGCAGACTTGTCAACTGAGATGGAGATTGTGGAGTCAGAAGAAAAGCCCCTGTCGGACACCCCGTTGCTTATGACTGAATCCGGCTGGAATCCTACAAAAGCCCGAGAGAAGACGATTGAAATCGCCATGGAAAGCTGGGGAACGCCAGCTTACTATCTTTCCAGGACAGGGCCAATGGCTGCGTATGTCCCTAGTTCTCTATGCGTCTGATATTCTATAGTGCCAGCATACTGACTTCATCTACCGTTAATCAGTTTTGCAGCCGGCAAGGCATCCGCTTTAGTTATCGATGTTGGAGCATCGATGGTTTCTGTCACTCCAGTTCACGACGGTCTAATTTTAAAACGCGGCGTACAACATTCTCACCTTGCCGGAGACTACATCTCTTCCCAGATCCGTGGTCTTTTCAAACAAAATACTCCCCAACCAATCACCGTAACACCCCACTACCTCATCTCTTCCAAAACCGCCGTCGATGCTGGCCAGCCAGCGCAAGCAACGTACCGCAATATCCCAAGCGACCAGGCCCCCGATGCGTCATTCCGCCACCTGTTAGAAAAACCGCACCATTTCCGAATTCAAAGAATGCGTCGTGCAAGTTTGGCCCGGTCCCCACGCTTTATCCAGTGTCAACCCAGCCGGCGTGCCCAACGAGGATATTGCAAGAAACAGCCCAGGCCGACCCTTTGAATTCCCAGATGGCTACAACCAACTCTTCGGCATCGACCGATACCGCGTCGTGGAATCGCTGTTCGACGCCAACGCCGCGATCCCAGATGATTCCGAATTCCCGGCACCCACCGCCGCGCAGACGATACCGGAGCTTGTTCGCAGTGCGCTGAACCAGGTGGATATCGATCTCCGACCGCATCTCCTCGGCAACGTGGTGATCACGGGTGGGACGAGTCTTTTGTACGGATTCAATGATCGTATTAACTCGGAGCTGACGAGCATGTTCCCGAGTCCGCGAGTGCGGTTATTTGCGCCGGGGAATACGGTGGAGAGGAAGTTTGGCTCCTGGATCGGCGGCAGCATCGTGGCTAGTCTGGGAACGTTTCACCAGATGTGGATTTCGAAGAAGGAATATGAGGAGCATGGTCCGAATATTGTGGAGAAGAGGTGCAAGTGACGTTGTTATGCCCGTGTGAAGTGTGCTCTGCTCGTATAGATGGGTCGTGTGAGGATTAGTTTTATACTTCGTTATCTCGGAGGATGGTTCAATCTATTTGGTCTGCCGTGGAAAACGTTGACTTGGCGCATGGATAAAGGTGCAAGCTCTATTAGCTTGCGAAAATGAAGCTGCGAAGATTGGTGGATTGCGGGAGCTTAATTATTAAGATTTCTCTTTGAAGGTGGTGCATAAACCAATATCCATAAAACTGTGAGACAAAAAACCGAAATCAACTCCAGGCTTAACGATAAATCCCATGCGTCATCCTCTACTCCCTTCCTACGCTCCTTCAAACTCATGAGTGGCGACGGGAGCGTAGCCATCCCCATTAACACCGGTCGTTTTCACGCCCTCCAAAGCATCAGCTAGCTCCTTCGCATCGCGTTTCCCCCGATCCACATCGACGAGTAACATCAAAGGCAACGGAAGCAGGATGAGAAGCGCCAGAAACCCAAAAGCAGGCCTGATCTCCCCGTATCTATCGGTGATAGCACCCACGATTGCGGGGCCAAACATGCTCGATCCTTTGTCGGTAATGGCGTAGAGAGCGTAGAACGAAGCTTCGAACCCGGGTGGGATCAGCTCGCCGAAAAAGCTACGGCAGTACGAGGACAGACCGCCAAGCACAAGGCCGTAGATTGCGCCGAGGACGTACATTTCCCACGGCTGCTGGAGGCCAAACACCCCGAGCTTTTTGATGAAGGGGAGGAAACCGAGAAGGCCGTAGAGAGGAATTACCTCGAAAAGGCAGATGCAAGCTACGATGGTGCGGGAAGGGCGCAGGTTGAAGTGGTGCGATATATAACTCCATGAGAACGCCCCAAAGACGCCGCAGAGCATGGCAATAACGTTGATGAGGCCAAGTGCCGCAATGTTCATGCCCAGTTGGGTTTTGGCAAAGAGGACAGCTGTTCCGCTCACTGTGGCGATGCCGTCCGAGAGCAAGAACCAAGCTGCTAGAAACAGGAGCACATCTTTGAGTTGGCGAGCTCGTAGTATCGTCCGGCCAAGAGAGATCCACGCGAAGGCGATATAGCCCACCCAAGCCCAATTGCCTTTTCCCCATGTCGAATCCGGAAGCGGAGGGCCAGGCCTAGGGCGTAACCATAATGCAGCGGGGATTGTGAAAAGCAGCCACCATAAGCCGATGATGAAAAGAACAAGACGGAGGGAAAAGGTGGTTGAATGGGTCGCAACGACTAAAAGAATACAGCCAATTTGAACCAGAACAGCAGCGATGTAGCCTATTCCAATGCCGTTGGAGGATATTCTAGTGGATAACTTCAGCTCGGCAGATACCAGTGCTGAATCGCCCAAGGGATCCTCTCCAGGCGTTCCTCGCCCAGCTTCATCGGCTGGAGATGAGGGATTGCTCCCGTCAATACTGTTAATAACATCCCTTCGCTCTCCCCCGACAGCAGCGTAGCGCGCTGCTTGTATCGAGGGATTGTTGCGCACAAGAAGCGGCAAAAACGAATTCAGCAGGACGAAGGAAGCACCAAAGCCCGTATTTGCAACAATTGCAAGAACCGCAGCCAGTATATAAAACCGGGGAAGAAGGAAGAGAAACAGGATCATGGACAATGCACCCATGAAAGCAAACACTAGAAGGAATTTCTTACGGTATACGCCATGATCCGCAGCCGCTGACATGGAGATTATGAGCACGGATTGGATCAGGACGCTTAGCGAGAAAGTGTACATGGCGAAACTGGCGGTGTTGACTTCGAAACCCAAAACATAAATTATGCACTGCGGTGCGCCCTTACGGGGTACATGGGCTGTAGAATTTAATCCCGGCATTGGAGAAGTCGGCCAGCTAGCACTGCACGGAGTCTTCTTGTCTGACAAGAGAACGCCTTGATCTCTGGTCATTTGTTCGAGGGTGATTGGAAGGAAGGAGCCTAGATAGCGATGGGTCAGCAATGTAGGTCAACAGCTTGAGACAAAACAGGAAGCGGCCTCAAAAACACAGGTTAAAGCATGCATACCCATGGCACATACGGCGAAGACTTCTGCAGCCCAGCCATAGCTATACCACCCAGCCAGCTCCTTCTTGCTCGTGGGTCTGGTATCTTCAGCAGAGTACTTTGCGGGGATCGGAGGGCCGATGAGGGCGTCATTCTCGTCTGAATCTCTCCATTCCGGCGAAGAAGAGCTCGTCATTGGCGTCGACAACGGAGGCAACGTACATCGGCGGTGGGGAGCGCGTCGTCGACCGTCAACCGATGTGTTTATTTAGCAGTCACCCATCCACACCTATTGCAGTTACATCATGATGTTAATGATTACATAAGGATGAGATCTGGCAGCATGGCGCTAAGGTGGATTAGGTCTAGTGGCGAATTACCGTTCTGGAACGACATGTAGACTTGAGATGCCATCACACTCAGATTTGCCGTGGAGCATGATTCATCATTTTTTGAATCCATCTCATTATTATGAAATTCTGCGGTTGGAATTAGTTGAGTCAAAAAATCATACGACATCAAAATGTTTTTGTCCAGTGATGTTGGTTTGTTTCGCCCAAAGATGGAACAGCACGCAATTCCACGGACATGAAAACCTCGAGGGAAGGGATGCTACCCAATCCTACCTAGAAATCAAGGTGACAACCGTTGGGAGGATTCTTATGTTCCTGCATGGGTCCCTGCCAGCTGTAGGGTTGATGGACCTGATTGCGAATCCTCTGAATCTCTGATGAGTGGACAGGAGTCCCTTTCCAGTCTAGACCATGGGGCGTGCGTTGCTGGCGGATATATTTAGAACGGATTCATTTTACGGCGGCAAGTGGAGCAGACAACGGAGTTATTCTCCCGTCAGACAGACACTCGGGGCCAACCTGCTTCTTTTTTGACAGTGAATGCAGCCTCGCTCCCTTTTATATGAATCCCGCGTATCCATCGTCCATCGACATCTCCAGGCGATAGATCCGCCACCTGCTGCTGAGACCGAAACCGCGCGCAAGCCCCTTTCTTGGCACTGCCCTCCAGCCTCAAGCAGGTGGAGCAGTGTGGCTGACGCTCCACCGGGCGGCTGGCTGCCGGCCAATCAGCGCGGGCCAGCAGCCTCCAGCTGAGACTCGCCAGGGGTAAAACACGCCCCACGCAGGCGAACATTACCGTACCGCCTGGTTACACGCACAACGCTTTGCTTTTGGGCGCGGCAGTGGGCGGTATTTACCAGGCGTTTCACCCGGCTCCTGGCCAAACGACGAGTTCGCCCGCTCAGCCATTCTGCTTGTCTTTGTCTGGCCTCGCGTTCTCTCCTCTCTCGCTGGCTGCAACTCGCTTCTTGTTCAAACACTCGTTCACCGCAGTCTGTCTCTGTCAACTCCTCATTCGTTTCACCACTTCTCTCCATCATGGCTGTGGCACTTTGTTGATGCTTCCTTGTCAACAGCTTCTTCTTGTTTTGTCCCGCATCTCTTTGTCGAAGAAATCCCTCCCTTGCAGTGTTCACTCACTGGACTACATTCTGTGCGGGTTGACCCTGCTAATAGTTAATCTTCCTCCTGGTGATTTTGGCTTTGCTCGTCAGTTTTTGGGCTGTTCTTAAGGACCAAAGCTTGGACCGCCTCGCCTTTCCCACTCTTCCACATCACAGCCTACCAGACGAAAAAAAAAGGGAGCCCCGTCTCGGGATCCCGACTCAGTGACCAGGTCGATCGAGCTCATCGCCTGCTCTTGTTCTTGTTCGCATCCATTAGCCATCTGGGCTCGGTGCACATCGACCCCCTAAACATGGTGCTGGTGCGCTATTTCACCACCGCAACCTTGGGTTGGGCGCTATTTTGCACTCCAACGCTCGCTGCCGACGTTTTAAAAACCAACGGGTTCGTCTCGTGCCTGGATAATACAGACATCAAGATCGAGAGACTTGACATTAGTTTTGATCGATCGTCCAAGCAGATTACCTTCGACGTCGCTGGCTCCAGCGGCAAAGAGCAGAAAGTGACTGCCTCGCTTGTCGTCAATGCTTATGGCCAGCGATTCTCCCAGGATTTCGACCCCTGTGATGATAAGACAAAAGTCGAAGCTCTGTGTCCAGGTAAAGCCAACCCAGTCGCGGACCCTTCACAAGAAAGCGTACGCTAATGCTCTTTGTTTCTCTAGTTCCCGCAAGATCATTCGCCGCAAAGGACACGGTACCGATACCTGGCGATTTTATTGATAAGATTCCCTCTATTGCATTTTCGATTCCCGACCTCCAAGCGCAGGCAACCTTGGAACTGAAAGCCCGAGATGGAGGTAAACCCGTTGCTTGCATCCAATCCGTCGTTGGAAACGGCAAAACGATCGAAACCCCTGCGGTTTCTTATGTCGCTGTTGGCATCGCTGGTGCCGCTCTCGCTTTAACTGGCGTCGGCGCCGCACTCGCAGGCGGAGCTCCAGGCGCCGCCGCATCTGGACCCACATTTGGAGATGTGGTGGGGTGGTTCCAGTCGATGGCTACCAACGGGATGCTGAGCGTGGGCTATCCGCCGGTGTATCGAAGCTTCACGAATAACTTTGGTTTCAGCACCGGCCTGATCCCCTGGTATCAGATGCAGACGGCCATTGATGATTTCAGAAACCGGACGGGAGGCAATCTCACCAACAGCAATGTAGACTTCTTAAGGAACGCGACCTTGGTTTATGCCGACAGTTTCGGGCCGAAGCAGAATGCAAAACGTGCTTTGAGCTCTATTTTCAATACTATCCCGCTTGCGATGCGCGATATCGAAATCACCGAAAATAAAGACTCCTCGGCTGACAGTGAAGGCGGAGTGAATCACATTGTGACCGGATTCAAGGCCTACGCCGAACGGCTGACAATCCCCGAAGCCAATACGTTCATGACTGTCCTCCTGATCTTTGCCATCGTTGTTGCTGCAATCGCGGTTGGTATCCTACTGCTCAAGCTCATTCTCGAACTCTGGGCAATGTGGGGCAATTTCCCGAAGAAACTGGCAGGCTTTCGAAAACATTACTGGGGACTTCTCATTCGCACGATCACCAACTTGATTCTTCTGTTGTACGGTATCTGGACGCTCTACTGCATTTTCCAGTTCACCCACGGTGATTCTTGGGCCGCGAAAATCTTGGCTGGAGTCACACTAGCCATCTTCACTGCCGTTCTTGGGTATTTCACATTTCGAATTTGGCAAATGGCTCAACGGTATAAGAAGTCAGATGGCGATGCGAGCGGCCTCTATGAAGACAAGGAAACGTGGCGAAAATACAGCCTATTCTACGACAACTATAAAAAGGGGTATTGGTGGATCTTCCTTCCAAGCATCGTTTATATGTTCGCCAAAGGATGCATTCTTGCTGCCGGTGACGGGCACGGTCTAGTGCAATCTGGCGCGCAGTTAGTTGTGGAAGCCCTTATGCTCACTCTGCTGCTATGGGCCCGACCGTATGAGACCAAATCGGCCCAGTGGATCAATGTCACTATTCAAGTCGTTCGTGTACTGTCCGTGGCGTGCATCATCGTCTTTGTCGAAGAATTGGGAATTGGAGAAACCACAAAGACTGTCACCGGAGTTGCTCTGGTCGTAGTTCAATCCGTTTTGACTGGAATCTTAGCTCTTCTCATTGCTATTAACGCGATTATTCTTTTGGTCCGGAAGAATCCACACGTGAGGCGCCGAAAACAAACAGGTAAGCGAATTCATCCCAAACTGCTTTATTTTCGATATTGATGAATGCTTTTTTTCCATAGAAAAATACGACCGTGACCTGGACAATTTGACGCCCCTAGACGCCCGCAACTCTTTACTGATGAATTCGCGAAGTGAAAATAATGTCAACGACCCAGAAACCGGGAAACTAAACTTCGTCGGCCGCTACGAACCATATCGGGATGTCCCACTCGGCGCCCCTGGACATCACCCATCAAATAGTACCGACGGTTTGGTGGCTCACGCCGACTACGGCCACCAAAAACCCAACAATAGTGACTCGGGCGATCTTAGCATGTATTCAGATTACAATCGCGTCGGCAGAGCTTACTGATTTCACCTCTATCGTGGCCTACCAAAGTCAAAGTCTAAACGAATTTCCTATCAGTGAGATACCAAATTCTCGTCGTCTTATGGCATTCTGCGTACCTTGTTTTTTTTCTACCTCTGGTTACATCTATTTCCAATCCTCGTGTCTTGCCTAGCCTCTTTTGCTGTCCATAAGTCTTATTTCCCGTCCTACGAATAGGATCCTATTCGTTCCCACAGCGCGTATTGGGTTCCTGGCATATTTGCTATTCTTTTTTTTTCTTTAATTCTAACCTGTCATACGCCCCCGGCTTACATTCCTTGGAGAGTAAAGGGTAAAAATCCATCCGCTCCTTAAGCCTCCTGCAAAATTAGTCCCTTTTCCTCCGCAGACAGACACACAATCTCTTCCCGCCTCTGGTGCAATTCCCACCCCTGGGCCACTATCCCCAGATACCCCTCCTTGAACCATTAGTTGGCGTTTTGAAAAAATCTTTAATCTCTCCCTGTTTTCTTTGGACTTTTCTGGCGCGGAACAGCTGCGGTGTTGATATAGAACGGAATCTTGAAACAACCCCTTATCTAGCGATTGTCTAACAAACCATTGTTGTCTTAATCCTCTTAGAGAATTCCATGTATAGTTAGCCTTGAACTTGGATATATCTGAACTTTCATCTTCCGCAGCCCTAAAGCACTCCTCTTCAACTCGTTTCCAAAAAAGACATGAGTAGAGGGCAACAACAAAACTAGACACCAAAACGCCCGTGTACACTAACTAGTCATGGATCAGATCCTCTTCCTCGTCATCTTCACTCAATCCTGCATTCCACGCTCCCGCTGCCTTCACATCTTTTCGACCTCCTTTCCCCATGATCTCGTCTCTAATAATGCAAGCACCTTCCTCCGGCCCGGGACACACCTTCCTCCTCCCCAAACGCTTGAACCCTTGGTCCTAAAAGGCCCACTCACATAATGGTACTGTCCGGCAAACCTGTACTGTCGATCGTCGCTCAACGGATATATTTTGTCTCCCCAATGGCCTCGAAAAGAGAACCATTCAGTGGGGGCATGGGGCGTTCGACTCGATGGATAAAGAGTGTCGTTATTAACCGAATAAATGTATGCGTGGAGATTGAGGGCGGGATCCCAGAGAGGCCCGGTGTCCGTTCGATCGCGGAGAAGGCCCCAAGGTAGGATGTAGGCATGTATACCTGGCGTGGCGTACATGGCATGGGTACCAGTAGCAGAGTATATAACGGGCTGAACAAGGGCTGTTAATCTATTGGCACTAAAATGATACAAGGGGAAAGGAAAAGGGATTTGGCCTCACTCGTTTGCCCGATTTCTCCACCGCGTTGTAAGTATATGCTTCTCCACCAGCATGTTCACTCAAGAAAATAGCTTTAGGTTCGCCATGATGAAATCGAACGAGGGAATGTTCCCAGTCTCCGACATGGTTCCCAAAGCGGACGTTGAGCACCATGTTTCCTAGATTATAGCTATAGAAATAAAACCAAAAGGCATCGACGATGCCGTCTCCTTTGTCGATGACGATTAGGACAGCTGGTGCACTGCTCCTACCGCCTGTTTTACTCTTTCGTCCGAAATAACCCGACACTTTACTTTCGTCTATTGGAGCTGGAATGTTCTTCCTGCCCAGCAACCATTTTGGACGGGATTCCACGTTATCGTCGCTTGTTAAAAAAACATAACGGCCCTGTTGCCAGTTATTCAGCTCATCAAGATCGTCCAGTAACGGGTGTTCCGATGCTGCTCTGAGAGGGGTATAGTTTAAATACGGGGTGATGTGCGTCAAGTGTTCTCCAATGTCGCCTGGCCAGAATTGTTCGCCGGAGTATAGGTGAACCAAGGGTGAGTACTCATAAACGTAGTCTGGTATATCATGTAATATTTGCTGATCGCCTTCAACCATGGGGCGTGCAAACTGCCATACAGGCCCATTATGTTCGACGGCTCCATCTTTTGACGCTTTGCCTTCATGTGGCGCGTACTTTCCGCTCGTGAGGGATGAATATAACCAATCCGACACCCGAGATAACAGGTTCCAGGTCCGAGACTTGACACGATTAGAAAGGCGAGCTGATTTCCGCCAACTAAATAAGAAATATCCAGGTGCTAGAGGGTCATGCTCGTCTATCTCCTCCCCAGTGGAATCAAAGGGGACAGTAGGCAAAGCGGTAGCAGTCAAATAGGCATCTGGTAGGGTGCTGCTTTCGTATGCGTCGCTCAAAGTAGGAATAGGCTCTGGAGAAAAGTACAGAGGTAATGGTGATAGAGTTGTGTGTATAAGCGGTGGACTTGTTTCCGGGACCGGCGATATCAGCGGCAGCTGAAGCCCTGCATTGAGTTGAGGTGCCACTGTGTCGTTCATTAGTCTATCTGTTCCAATATATGTGGGCATCAATTCAGTTCATGTATTGAGCTAGTGCCAAACCAAACTGTATAATAGCAGAGGCCGCATGCCATATCGTAACACAAAACGTAAAAGGAGACAAGAAAACAGCGGCAAAGTCATGCCAACGCCAACACTAGCAGCCAAACAGCAACCTCGAGCGATATTCAAATATTCCACGTAACAACATATCCTCCAAACATCAACACTGCGTTGAAGTCGTGTGCCCAGCATCGTTTCCGGAAGAGCCGGCCCAGCGCATTTTTTTGGATGGAAGGCACAAAGCAGGAATAAACAGGCCCAATAACATGTAGGAAGGGAACAGGCACCGAGAACCAAAGACTTACTTTCCGTCTGTGTTGTTATCTGGCTCCTCTGGCGACAAGCAACGACTCCCTCTGACCCTCGTCCCTTGAAAGCTACATTATGCTGAAGCTGTAGCTGCCAACAAACCCATGATGCATAATATGTTAGAAGACCGAGAAAGCTTGTTTAGGTCTTCAGACCTGAGCGGAGTCTTTATTCGCAATTTTATTGGAACGTGGAAACGTGTGACCCTGGACCGTACTCCGTGGATCAGTTTTCCGGGCAATCATTCTCCCTCTTAAAACGGTGCAATCCGGGGGAGTCTTCAACCAATGGAGCCAGCGCAGCCCTTTTTCCTGTGAAAACCCCTTGATCGCTTCGCCGTTGTCATCCATGAACAGCGGGATGCGGCAGCTGGCGGACAGCATGCACCAATGACATCACAGGGCTGGAGTGCGTGCTTATGTAATGCTAAGTTCGATCTGATAAGATAAAACTGCTGACTAATAGCCCTTGCTTGAACGACGCGCCAAGACGCCCACTTTGGAAAGCATCTCGCGGTCCAGCGTGCCAGACGACAACTCACCGCGTGTTGGCCCGTCTGAAACATCATGCACTCTCCTCTACATGATCTTACCACTGACATACCTTTGGACGAGCCCTCAGACGAGTCGGATGTCGAATATGAGTATGACAAATCCGAAACAGAGGTGTGTTGTGCAACGAGAATTTGAAATCCTAGACGACTCTACTAATCGCGAGGTTTACCAGACATTTTATATCAATCTTGACCTTACATCTTGCAATGGCCCAATTCGCCCTCCGAGGCAGAGAACCTTTGCTCCTGCAGACCCGATAATAGCCTCAGCCGCAGCTACAAGCTCGCGAACGGGCTCTCCAGTGCGGGATTCACCTGGCCAAAATCAGGCAATGAGCGATGAGCCGAACCTGGATACTGAGCTCCAAAGTCAAATACAGATAATGGAGCTACACTCTCCGAACCCGATTATCTCTTACCATAACCAGATATTCAGCTGCTCTTGGGCTGATAATATCGGGACTGACATGATGTTTTCATTGCCCGAAGACGACTCCGACCTTGCCCTCCGACAAACAAGAGACTTTGATCTAATTTCCACTACACGTGTGAAGATATTAGGCCAGAAAGCGCATGTCATTTCCGGATCTAGCTCCAGCCAAGCTCAAAGAATCGATTCCGCCGACGCACTGTCTGGTCAAGCGCAATTTTTAGCATGTCTTATGAGGGTCAAAAAGGCCAAGGGTGAGCAGGACGAGGTCCGAACAGTTTTCCCAGCAGCACAGAAGCGAAATGAAAACCTAGACGAGAAGTTACAGAGTTGGGCGAGAACAGAAGGATTGCTCACGGAAATGGAACAGCTCAATGAACAGGCTTTTCGTGGGGACATCGATTCTGTGAAGAGATTGGAAGAAATATACATGCAGTTTGATGCAGCACTTCGTAGCAGTGCTGGAATTGGAGTCCCCGAAACTACGCCAACCTCACCAACTCAATCACAAGCACAGGAGGTTCAAGATTTACCAGGTGCGAACGAAGATAAATAATGACTATTAATTCCCGGCAGATTAAACCAAAGCTCCCTATCTGGGACCAAAGTTCCCACACAAGACATGCAGTCAAAGAGGATTAAACAGGACGCAGAAGTGTGCTGCGCCATGGATTATGGGAATAAGACAAAAGAAGTTTGCAACAATTCCTGGAGAACCCCGCATTAACAGCCCTTGAAGCGACAAAGCAAGTTGCAAGCAGTCATTATTGGGTATAGTATAAGCGGACAAATGAAACCAAACGAGTGCGAGCTCCTCAAAACTAGACACGAAGGCGGAAGAAGTTTTGGAAAATTCAAAAAGGCATACTCTATAATGGCACAAGCGAAGAGAAAGAATTTTCTTTTAAAAAAAAGGCAAAAGCAGCCTATATTTCAAGACCGGCTCCTGTCAGAGTTTAGGCTGCGGCCTCAAATTTCCCGTTCATGGTCCATCCAGATGCCGTTACGGGGGATGGCGGAGGTGGCGGCGGTTGTTCATATTCGCCCCGGAACGACACATATTTGGGGGTGCTAGACGAAGATTGTATCGCTCGCCTGATATCCTCGCTAAGTGCCGCTGTCGATAGTGTCAGTGTACTCGATTTGGTACCGCCGTTCGTGAGGGATTGTTTCAGTGTCACGGACGGTCCACAGAGAAGAGGACCGGAGGTTTGGTATTGTGTGAAGCAAGTTTGCGGCATGCTGACTTTATGTCTCCGCTGAGATCGGTCGGTCGTGCGAAGCGCTGTGGAATTTGCGGAATGAACCGTTGGTCTTTTCTGGACGGGTAAAAAGAGCCTGCCGACAGAAAATCGATGGACGAATGGAAAATAATCTTCAGGCTAGGTTTGCGGAGGTTGGAATCTTTGATTTCGCCTGATGGATGAAAGCAACGACGTTTTGATCTCGAAATACTCGGTATAGTAAGCAATAACGATGGACGAAAACACCAACACGTGAAACGCTTTTATATGATTGAAAGGAGCGAAGCTGGACAAAGAAACCAAACTGGAAGAGAGAGGAGACAAAGAAGACAAGATGATGGGAAAGCTATTCGGGCCAAAACAAATTTCATTTATACATGACAAACTTTGCCAGCCCAAAATACGGGGCAAAGTGCCCATCCGACGTAATTTTCACGAGACAGGTACTGGCTGCGTTTGACTAGGGTTGGCTTTGTTGGGCCAGGGATATCGATTCGTCGAGATTGACCAACTCGATCGCAACGGGTTAGGCGAGACGCTTCTAGCCGCGGATTGAAGCTGCACCCCGTATTATGTTGCATTGGCAGGGCCGACACTAGTAAACGTGGCGGACAGGGTTAAAATTGCATCTTTTGTTGGTGAGCTCTTTTTTTTTTTGAAAAAAGAATTCTTCCTGCAGCTGCTTGAGAACCACCCGGTCTTCTGAATATTACTATTATCGCTAGAGCTTCTCACAAACGTTTTTTGAGCATGGTTGCTGAAACCCACTATTGACCCAAGCTGATCTCCAGATTCCGCCCTGCTGAAAAAGAGACTAAGTTTAGTTAAGGGGAAATCTCACGTTGATCCCATCCGCGGGTCGGTTCGGCCCCGGCAACGAGATGAGTCAACCCAAATTTGTTCTATATCCAATCAAATCCCTATTCTTATGAGCCACCTGCCTCTTTCAATCCCCGTTTCAATGTGACTGTGGCAACTCCTAAGAAGCGCGTTGACGCTTGTGTTTGTTGAAGCCTGCTCGCTTCGGCTCGGGCCCTCGATCCATCGAGAAGCTTGCAAACATGGGAACACAGCATCAAAAGGATCGGGCGTTTGAACCTCGGCCAATTGCATCGAAAACTCGCTTTTGTTTGCTTTCACGCAACCCCCACAGGATCCCTTCACAAGGGCGTCTGGCGGGACCCAAAAGCGCCTATCTAGAAGTTTCTGAAATCTTAGTTCTACGAGTTAAAAGAGTCCTCTCTTTCTCTATGCACCCTCGACTCGCAATGTTTAGCCACAAATTTTTTCTGGGCAGGAGCAACAAAACGGCGAGCGCTGGCTACAGCAGGCGTGGTACACAACAAGAACTTAAGAAATCCATAGCCAGCAAGGCCGTAATCAAAGCAGAACTGGCAGCTTAGAGGATAACTCAATTAGCATGGAAGAAAAACTGTTTGAGACTGGGCGACGAATGGGTCAGATTAGGCCATGGGGATTGAAGGACTTATACCCGTTATAGAGCTCAAGGGCGAGATAAAACATATAACTATCTCCCAGCGTTCCTCGAATCTCACTTATACCTCCATATGTCAGTTTGATCTGGAAGTCGTGCCAAAAATGCACACACTGTTGACTAGATACATTCAGACCCATTACAGTGTGACATTGGCACCGCTGTCCTCTTTTGCGAGACCTGTTTTCCCTCCACGGTACCACCCGTGGCATGGTCTACTTTATTCATCCGTGCTACCAAAGCAGACACTGGATGCCCTACTATAGCCAGCCCACCTAATTGATGTTTGTCAACGTGTCGACTGCAAATTTTTTTGATACGTCAGGTGCGGTCGCACTGTATTACATATATGATCAATCATTGTCCATCACTACGATAAAAAACGTCTTATGGACTTCCACTAACATGTAAACATTGAATGGTTTTCATATCTGGCCCATACGATCGGGTCCTAGCTCTTTTGCTCGCTGTGGGGATAATGCTTGTAACTTGTGGAGTCTGGCTGGCATGCTTTGTATATTGCCTCTCCATTTATGCTTGGGACGACAAATCCGCCGCAATGGGCCACCAGAACCCTGTCGTTGTCTGTGTTGTTTAGTCGGGCCGGTTGTCAGTACTGGCGCAGATAGCGGCGCGAGTGCGGTGGGCTAGTGGGATCACGGCGGAGAGGACCATTCTGGCTGTGCTATTTTGGTTTCTCGTTAACTAGCCACAGGGCATGTTTTTTGTTGTTCTACTTGCAACTGTCCCTGCACTCCTTGGAAGGTGCAAAAGTGTCTCTATGTCATCTTGGGGCAATCAAATTCAAGATTAAAAGTATGGTATTCTTGAATCTTGCCAGTAATAGCGCTCTCGGATTGAGTCCCATTTGTTGAAATGCTGGACTGTCTGCGCATCCATGAAGTTGATCCCTTAAACTCCGCCATTGAAGCAGGATTTGCCTAGGAAAGGGGGACGCTGTATGTATGTAGAATACATCCGCCATTGCTTTTGCTGCTTATGTGGTGACCAGCTCCCCTCAGGAGGGTTGATAATAGGTCCGCCAATCCCAGCAGCTATCCGGGACCCAAACCGTCCGATACAAAATATCTGGTACGGGCATTGAGAACCCGTTAAAGCCTGGGCAGGACATGCCGGGCAGGATGGAGTTCTGCAGCAGAAATTTTAGCTTGCGGAATGTATTGTGATGTGTCTGGGGCGGGTGGGTATCATTTG